TACCAGCGGTGTTAAGATCGGCCTCTGTGGAGGAGGAGGCTCGTGAAGGACGCTACTGGGCAGTTGGAGGCAGTCACCCTCCAGCAACAACGGAGGGGGGCGGATGAGCGACGCTCACAACAACGAGCGGAGCGTCGGGTGGATAAAGCACCGCAAGTTGGCACAGAAGAGGGCACAGGTGGTGCATCGGACAGTCACCTCAGTCATCTCAGTCAGTCGACCCGTGGCACCTGCTGGGTCTGCCCCCGTGACCTCCTGCCAGCAGGCGTTCGACACTTCACGTGGCCTCCACGTGCACATAGCCTGGCACAAGCGCCGTAGTGACGTCACCACCACTTAGTGGCGAATGGAGGTTGTTGTTGTTATTGGTGGTGGTGCATCCAGGGGTAGCCCGTCCGTGTCGGTGAACCAAGGCAGTCGCCTAGTGCGCCAAGCTAAAAAAATATACAAAAAAATAAAGAATGTGTCATTATTTCAATTCCCGTGCACGTACAGAGGGAATATGAATAATAATTTCTATTTTCTTAACATTTCTGAGAATGTATTAAAGCAGGGGCGGAGCCAGGATGTTCAGCCCGGGGTGACATTCAACAAATGTTAATTTCAAGAATGATTAGAGAGTCAGGCTGTTGAACTAGTAGACGCCATCGGTTTGGCGACACACTCTGACAATGCAGTTGCACGGAGTCCGCCAGACCGAGTGTCGTACACTTATACAGCAGAATGTCACCCCTGTCACCCCCCCTGGCTCCGTCCCTGTAATTAAAGTAAAATATTTTATCTCCCGCAACAACAAAAAAAAGACCGTAAATCGGGCTGAAAAATCCTCGAGCTGTCGTGGACAAATATATTTCTGAACACGTCGTCTCTATTTTATCTGATTTCAGAAACATTAATTGGGACAGACGTACGGACAAACCGGAATAATCATGCCTCCGTTTTAAAAATAATAAAAATAACACGCCTTAAAAACACATCGAACGGAAAAAATAGGGCTTAAAATATTTCCCAGTTTACCAAAACCCCCCCACCCCCCCCCCCCCCACCTCATCCGAGATCTGCCCTTGGGGGGTCTTGGGGGGTGGTCGGGGACAGATTGGACGGTTCGACCTCGGACAGCCCCGAGTCGAGAGGCCGCCCCTGGCGGGTCCCAGGTGCCCTGGGGTTTGATCCGGAACAGCACGCACGGGACAACGTTGGCGCCTGCGTTTCTTGGTGGCGGGCAGGACATCGATGTGTGCGGAGATCTGGCGCGTGGTGTTGGCTGTGCCCAACTTCATTATCGCGGTAGCAGCCCCGTGCCGGATTATCCTCGTAGCAAAAGTAGCTGCACATGCTACGGGCCCCGTGCTCCCAAGGCCCCCACACTCCCAAGGCCCCCGCACTCTCAAGGGCCCCGCGCTCTCAAGGGCCCCGCGCTCTCAAGGCCCCGCGCTCTCAAGGGCCCCCCACTCTCAAGGCCCCGCACTCCCAAGGGCCCTGCGCTCACAAGGGCCCCGCGCTAAATGCTTTCAAGCTGTCAATTCCGGTTCGGTGATTCTGCGCTTGCTCTATTACTATAGTACTATACCGCCTTCGACTTTTACGAACGACCGGGTGTTTAAGGTTAGCGGTTTGTCGTATTATCTGGCTGTATAGCAAATGAAAAAATTACAATAACTTTACTACGCAAGTAAAACATTTGTGTTTTCATATTTTCGTGTATTTTTTAATTTAGGGCCCCTTTATAACATCATGCTACAGGCCCCGCACGAGATTCAACCGGCACTGGCAGTGCCAGCATGCAGCATCCTGCACACTTTTGTAAATAGACTTCGGCCGACTGAGAAATGTTCATTTTTATTTTCATCACACGGAAAATCCCTTCTCGCCAGTTCAGAATGTTTTATTTAGTTCGACTGCAGGAAGAATCCGATGAGCTATAAAGCTCTTTCGTCACCGAACGTTACAACGACAGTTACACAAACACGATCGGAGTGCAACGTAGAAGAAAGGTAAACAAACCACTCAAACACGTACAAATACAACAACTACCAGGCAGAGCCCACTCAGGTATTGACTTATCGTTCAGAAGCGACCTGGCCACAAATGACAGCTCTAGTTTCGATGGCAAGGACGGGCACCCACAGCAAAGTGGCCCATCCATTTTTGACATTGATAGCACTCAAAGTAATGTAAATAATCTCAACGCTACGGGGGGGGGGGGGAGGTGTAATCGTAGAATTCTACGTCCGGTTTACTCGAAACGAGGAGGCCACCGTTGGTCGGGGTCCCGGGTCCAAATGCGGCCAACATTCGAAACATTTGCTCCTGCAAAATGACTCGGAGTTACTGGTGGGCTGCAGAGGAACCCGGTCAGTAGCCAGCCAGAAAACTCGAGGCATTGATGTTGTCATATATATGTAGAAATAGCAGTGCGATAGGCGTATGCCCCCGATTCTATTTTAAGAGTTACAGCTCACACATCAGAGTTGGGCGATGCGATACGCCCAGGGGGCATGGATGCGAAGCTACAATCCTACAGCATTCCGAAACGAATCATTCTGGTTGCGACACGGCGTGTGTCCTGCCGCAGGAATGTGGAATTTCCGACCCCCGGCTTGACGTTTGGAACAGCAGGAACAACACGAGCGCATTCCCGAATGCTCGTGAAAGTACGGGGGAGACTGGCAAGAGCTCCCTTCTACTCTTGCATATGGTGGCAGCAGCAGCAACAGCAGCAACAGCAGCAACATGTTCAGGAGCTCGATGCCGATATCGAGATCCGCTGTTGCTGCTGCTGGCCAAGACGAGATGGCTTCAGCAGAGAGAGAGAGAGAGTTCGTCTCGTGTCGCTACTCCTCCTCATCCTCCTCCTCTGTTGCAGGAACGCAGACTACCACCGCGGTGTTGACTGGCCTCTCTTTAATGTATCTCCATGTGTCTCTGTGGGGGGTCTCTATGGGGTCTCTGTGGGTTCACTATGTGGTGCACATCTTGGGTTGCATGGCCACAGTCCCACCACTGTGGCTCGTATTTGTTGCATCTCTATGGGTCTGTTTGTGCTCTGTGTGTCTCTGTGTATGTCTATGTGTCTCTGTGTATGTGCTCTGTGTGTCTCTGTGTATACTCTGTGTATACTCTGTGTGTCTCTGTGTATACTCTGTGTATTCTCTGTGTATGTGCTCTGTGTGTCTCTGTGTATACTCTGTGTGTCCCTGTGTATGTGCTCTGTGTCTCTGTGTATGTCTACGTGTGTCTCTGTGTATGTCTATGTGTGTCTCTGTGTATGTCTATGTGTATCTGTGTATATCTATGTATGTGTCTCTGTGTTTGGCACAGAGACACATACATAGATATGTGGAGGTCTCCTGCTGCTGTTGCTGCTGGCCACGACGAGAGGACTTCAGCAGAGAGAGAGACAGAGGTCGTGTCCGCTGTTCCTCCTCCGTTGAAGCAGCGCAGACCACAGTGATGTCGATTGGCCTGTCTTTAATGCATCTCCATGTGTCTCTGTGGGGGGGGGGGTCTCTATGGCTTCACTGGACGGTGCAACGTTTGGGTCACGTAGCCACAATCGCACCACGGTGGCGTAGGTCTTTAATGTATCTCTACGGGTCCCTGTGAGTATCAATACGCATCTCGATGAGTCTGCATCTCTATGAGTCTCTGTGCATCTATTTCTGTCTCTTATGGGTTTACGAGATGGGTCCACAGTTTGGGTCACGTGGCCACAATCGCGCGCCACTTTGGCCCCAGTTCAATCTTGATTTGAAGCTTTCGTGACTGCAGAAATCCATGCTCTTTGGTGCTTTCGGTAAAGTCACGTGGGTAGAAAATAAAAGAAAATAAAACAGAGCATTGCTTTTAATTTAGATTTAAAGCTTTCGTGACTGCAGGGATTCATATTCTTGGTTCTTTCGGTAAAGTCACGTAGAAGGGAAACAATAAAATAATAAAAAATATATAAAACAATAAAATTATCTCGACATTTCGACTGCAACACAAGCAGCAATCGTCATCAGGTGTGAAAACCACAGCAAGAAAGTTTGAAACAGAAAAAACCCGCCACTTTTTTCAAATTTTCTTGCTACGGTTTTCACACCTGATGACGATTGCTTGTGTTGCAGTCGAAACGTCGTGAGAATTTAATTGTTTTATATATTTTTATTTATTATTTTATTGTTTCCCTTCTACGTGGTGACTTTACCGAAAGAACCAAACAGCTGGGGTGAGGCTCCGGTCTTTAATTGTCCATATTCATCAGGGAGGAGTGCGCTCACAGCCTGCTGTTGACGTTCCGATGATGCGGTTGATGGCCAGAAGGAGGAGGAATGTCCATGCGAGAATGTTTGGAGGGTCTCCATCGAGGCGTTTTCATTATTCCGGGCGCCCGCGTTGTTCCACCCCCCTTTGTGGGCGCACCGTTCTTCCAGGTCTTGTCCACGATTCGAGAGAGGTGATGGCTCCATCGTGGAAAGGATTGGTTTCGCCTGTTCCTTCGACGCTCGCACAACCTTGTCGACGCCGGGGACACGTTCCCGCCAACATAATCCGGTGGTTATGGGAACAATTGATTCTCCGACGCATGGTCGGACGTGTGCGCTCGACAGCGCGAGAGTCCGCTTTGCTCGATGACGATGAGCCGACGACGATGAGCCGACGACGACGAGGAGGAGGAGGAGTCGATGATGCCGTTTGTCTCCTTCCTCCCAGGCGCGAGCCACACACTGCACGTGGCGGGACGCGGCCGCCGCTGCCCTCCTCGCCCTCGTCTATCCCCGGGCTCCTCCTCATCTCCGTCTATCGCCGGGCTCCTCCTCATCTCTACCCCTGGGCTCCTCCTCCTCCTCATCTCTACCCCTGGGCTCCTCCTCCTCATCTCTACCCCTGGGCTCCTCCTCCTCATCTCTACCCCTGGGCTCCTCCTCCTCATCTCTATCCCTGGGGTCCTCCTCATCTCTACCCCTGGGCTCCTCCTCCTCATCTCTACCCTGGGCTCCTCCTCCTCATCTCTACCCCTGGGCTCCTCCTCCTCATCTCTATCCCTGGGCTCCTCCTCATCTCTACCCCTGGGCTCCTCCTCATCTCCATCTACCCCGTGGGCTCTTCCTCATCTCTACCCCTGGGCTCCTCCTCATCTCCATCTACCCCGTGGGCTCCTCCTCATCTCTACCCCTGGGCTCCTCCTCATCTCTACCCCTGGGCTCCTCCTCATCTCCATCTACCCCGTGGGCTCCTCCTCATCTCTACCCCTGGGCTCCTCCTCATCTCTACCCCTGGGCCCCACTATGGGCAACACGGAGGCGAAGCCGGAAGAGGATGTGCAGGAGCAGCCGCCGGGCATCGTTCTCAACTCGTACCAGCAGAACGAGAACCGCAAGCATCCGGTCAGATGTTCACCGTCACCGCTATCATCATCACCACCACCATGCTCATCATTATCACCACCACCACCAGGATCATCAACAGCATCTCCACCACCACCACGATCATCAACATCATTACCACCACTATTATCATCACCACCACATCGCCACTATCATCATTATCATCACCACCACCACCACGACGATCATCAACATCATTACCACCACTATCATCATCACCACCACCGTCGCCACTATCATCAACACCACCACCACCACCACGATCATCATCACCACCATCATCACCACCAACACCACCACTACCACCATCATCACCATCAATGTGTTCAACGTTGAGAAGTCTGCTGCTAACCACGACGAGAGGGCTTCGGGAGGGAGAGAGTTCGCGTCGTTTTGCTGTTCCTCCTCCACTGAAGCCCACATTGTTGTACTGTGTGGTCTATCGTGTGGCTTGCATGGCACACACAATGCTGTGGCTGGTGTCATCAAACACATTCCTGCGGAGGGAGGAGCTGGTAGGAACGTTGGCTTGATCGGTCAATGGCCAGGGTCAACGGCGGCACCACGTGGTGTATTCCACAAATATGCCCGACTGTGAGGGCGGGCACAAGCCGGCGTGAGTAGGTTAAACGTTGAGTTTTATAAGGGCACCACGGGGTGACCAGCCCCTCCCCACCCAGCCCCACCCCTCCCTCCCACCCCCCACCTAGCCCCATCCTCCTCACCCAGCCCCTCCCCACCCTCCCCTCCCCACCCAGCCCCTCCCCACCCTCCCCTTCCCTCCCCACCCAGCCCCTCCCTCCCTACCCAGCCCCTCCCCACCCAGCCCCTCCCTCCCCACCCAGCCCCTCCTCACCCTCCCCACCCAGCCCCACCCTCCATACCCAGCCCCTCCCTCCCCACCCTCCCCTCTCCACCCAGCCCCACCCCTCCCATTTTTGGATGTACGACGGACGGACGGACACAATAATCCCCTGTGGGCTGGTGTAACCAGGAGGTTCCTACCAGTATGAGTCTCTGTGTATCTCTGTGGGTCTCTATGGGTTGTACTGTGTGGCCCATCGTGTGGCTTGTATGGCACACACTCACAATGCTGTGGTTGGTGTCTTTCATGAGTCTCTGTGTATCACAGTACACAAATACACAGTACACTCACACAGTACACATATACACAGTACACACACAGTACACACATACACAGTACACACACGGTACACACACACAGTACACACACACGGTACACTACACACGACAACAACAACCGCCATTCGCCACTAAGTGGCGGTGACATCACCACGACGCTTGTGCCAGGCCATGTGCACCTTGAGGTCACGTGAAGTGTCGAACGCCCCCTGGCAGGAGGTCACGGAGCAGACCCAGGTGCCACGGGTCGACTGACTGAGATGACTGGCTGATGCACCACCTGTGCCCCCTACTGTGCCAACCTGATGTGCTTTAGCCACACGGCGCTCCGCTCGTTGTTGTGAGCGTCGCTCCTCCGCCCTCCGTTGGTGTTGGAGGGTGAATGCCTCCAACTGCCCAGTAGCATCCTTCACGAGCCTCCTACACAGAGGCCGATCTTGACACCGCTGGTACCAGTCATCGGCAAGTCCACTCAGCTCCAGGTCTTTCTGTACCACATCACTCCATCTCTTCAATAGCCCGTGCCGCGCCCGTTTAGCCCCCTCGATCCGGCCGAACAAAAGCTGTTTCGGCATACAGTGGCTGGGCATGCGGGCTACATGACCCAGCCAACGCAGCCTTGCCTGCCGGAGGAGCTCACCGATGGGACCGTGCCCAGATCTTTCAAGGATTTGTGAGCTCCTCACACAATCCAGCCTGCTTAAACCCAGGATGGATCGTAGGCAGGCTAGCCTTAATGTTTCTAACCGGCGAAGATGTTCCATTAGGGGGGTCCACGTTTCGCAAGCGTAGAGAAGGGAGGGAATGACTGTGGCCGAGAAGACCTGAAGCTTAGTGCAGAGTGACAGACCAGGTAGCTTCCACACAGCGTTACGCAACCGATGAAAAGATATTGCCGCTAGACTGATTCGGAGTGAGACCTCTGCTGTTAAGCTGGAGCCAGTCATAAGCACGCTGCCCAGGTATGGGAAACTCTCCACTCTCTCCACAACTGCCCCATCACCGATTGGGAGTTGTGGGGGTGGAGTGTCTGATGGTACAAAATACCCAGGCAGGTGCTTAGTTTTGGTGGGACTGATGGTAAGGCCCCATCTCTTAGTGGCACGCTCCAGTCTCAGCAGCAGCGTCTCCAACCCCTCCTCTGAATGAGCAACTATTACCAAATCATCGGCATACATAACATGGTTGTGCAATAGGGAGCCATCCCTTGGCCGCACCCGGGCATCGATCAGCCTCCCATTATATCTGTACCATATGGAGATTCCCCCGGTACAGCTATTGAAGGCTTCACGAACTACGTGGTCAAAATAGATGTTAAATAATGTGGGAGCCAAAGGACATCCCTGTCGCACCCCAAAGTGTACATGTAGTTTTATACGGGCCCGCTCACCATTATAAAGGTCCTTAATGATCGTGAGCAGAGGGTCAGGGACTCCAAAAGCACGAAGAACAACCCAGAGCCCAGGCCTACTGATGGTATCATAGGCCTTGACCAGGTCAATAAAGCAGAGATATAGGTCTTGCTGGAATTCTCTACACCTCTGCTGTAGCAGTCGGACAGAAAATATGGCATCTGTGCAGGACCACCCTTTTCTGAAACCGCATTGGGGCTCCGCAAGCCTCTCCTCAGCGTGCCTGGCAAGGCGATGTTGAATAATCCTTGCCAGGACCTTTCCCGGCACACTGAGGAGTGAGATGCCCCTGTAGTTGTTACAGTTGTTACAGTCTGTGCGGACCACCAGGGCATCCTTCCAATCCTGCGGAACCCGTCCAATGGTCCAGACTGTTGTTATGATGTCATATAGGACAGTCTGTGCACAAACGCCACCCTCCCTCAGCATTTCGTTTGGGAGATCATCTCTGCCCGGTGTCTTTCCTGGTCTCAGACTCCAGATCGCCTTCAGTACTTCCTCAACAGATGGTACTTCAGCCAGCCACTCACAGGGGGTGACTTCTTCCAGTATTTGATGCACCGCAGCCTCAGCAGGGTCATCCCCACTTTATGCCAAGATATTTTCCTGGCTGAGGGATTTCCCCTCCCCCAGGACTTCACAGAAATGCTCAGCAAATCTGCAAACCTGTTCCTGGGGGTCGGAGATTGGATCACCGTTTTTTCCCCTAATGATGGTAATAGGTGTGGCGCTGCAGGTTAATTTTTTGATGGAGTTAAATAGTGATTTGTGATCGCGGGCCACTGAGGCAGACTCCATCTCCTCAGCAACCCGCGACCACTACCCATCCCTGCAGCGCCTCACGGCTCTACGAACCTCCGAGCGAAGGCTGCGGTAAGCCTCCTCATTCTCTGACGTGGGATTCTGTAGCCGATGACAGTGGGCCTGTCGCTTTTTCTCAACCATCCTGAACACCTCCTCTGTCAGCCAGGGTCTCTGGGGAGGTCTGGACCGCGTACCCAAAGCAGCCATTGCAGCTGCATGAGTCACAGTCCTAAACCTCGCCCATTTACCCTCGACATCAGGAGGAGTGGGGGACGATGCCAACCCCAGCCGCAAGCGATGATGAAATTCTCGCTTGCAACTTTCATCAGATAACTACACATGCACACAGTACACACACACAGTACACACGCACAGAGTACACACACACAGTACACACGCACACAGTACACACATACAGTACACACGTGCACAGTACACACACAGTACACACACACAGTACACACGTACACAGTGCACACACACAGTACACACGTACACAGTACACACACATAGTACATACGTACACACACAGTACACACGCAGTACACTAACACAGTACACAGTACACACACAGTACACACAGTACACACGCACACAGTACACACACACACAGTACACACACAGTATGTACACAGTACGCACGCAGTACACAGGTACACAGTACACACGTACACAGTACACACACAGTACACACGTACACAGTACACACGTACACAGTACACACACACAGTACACATGTACACAGTACACACGTACACAGTGCACATGTACACAGTACACACACAGTACATACGTACACAGTACACAGTACACACGTACACAGTGGACACACACAGTACACACGTACACAGTACACACGTACACAGTGCACACACACAGTACACACACAGTACACACGTACACAGCACACACACAGTACACACATACACAGTGCACACACACAGTACACACGTACACAGTGCACTCACACAGTACACACGTACACACACACAGTACACACGTACACAGCACACGTACACAGCACACGTACACACGTACACAGTACACACACACAGTACACACGTACACAGTACACACACAGTACACACACAGTACACCGTACACACACAGTACACATGTGCACAGTACACACACAGTACATACGCACACAGTACACACACATAGTACACACAAACAGTACACACACACACACAGTACACACGTACACAGTACACACACAGTACACACGTACACAGTGCACACACAAAGTACACAGTACACACACACAGTACACACGTACATAGTACACACACACAGCACACACACGTAATACACACGTACACAGTACACACACACAGTACACACACATAGTACACACACATAGTACACACATGCACAGTACACACGTGCACAGTACACACATAGTACACACGTACACAGTACACACACAGTACACACGTACACAGTACACACACAGAGTACACACACAGTACACCGTACACACACAGTACACATGTGCACAGTACACACACACAGTACACACACAGTACACACACAGTACACACGTACACAGTGCACACACAAAGTACACAGTACACACACACAGTACACACGTACACAGTACACACACACACAGTACACACACATAGTACACACGTACACAGTACACACACACAGTACACACACAGAGTACACACACAGTACACCGTACACACAGTACACATGTGCACAGTACACACACACAGTACACACGTACACAGTACACACACACAGTACACACACAGTACACACGTACACAGTACACACGTACACAGTACACACGTACACAGTACACACGTACACAGTACACACACAGTACACACGTACACAGTACACACATCGATGTGGGTGGGGGGGGGTTGGGATTCCTCCGTCGATGCTGGGAATTCCTCCCCACGGGTGGTGATGATGATGATGACGATGATCACCACGACCATCCCTGCTTGTTCACGCGTCTCTGTTGTTCGATTCAGGACATCGAGCACAAAGCCGAATCCAATTCAAAGTCTCCGGCTCATCCCAGCACTGCAGGTGAGTCCTGAACTCACTGCCGCGCGTGTCCACTCGTGCCCACCCCCCCACCACCACCCCCCCCCACCACCACCCCCCCCACCACCACCCCCCCCCCACCACCCCCCCCCCACCACCCCCCCACCACCACCCCCACCAGCAAATCCCTCGACTTGTTGAGCCACGTTCACCGCTTCCCCAGAGCGGTGGACGTGGCTGGTCGCCGCTCCGCGTTCATCCACGCGACGTTGTTCATCCACGCGGTTCTTGACAGGAATAGAAACAAAGACAAAGATCCCCCGTGTAGCCTGTGACAGACTGTAGGGGCAAGTGCTGTTAGCGAGCACCTATTAAGGCCGGCACGGCACACGAGGGGGGAGGGGGGGCGGGGGTGGAGCAACACCACGCCCGGCCGCCTTTGTCTCCCCAGTGGCGATGTTTTGCACATCGCACCGGGCACTCATTTGAGGCTGAGTCGACCTAGAGGAGGCCCAGGTTACCGGTTCAGATAATCGTCACCGGTGTTGGCCGTGAGCGGGAATCGAACCCGGATTGCCGGGTTCGTAGCGCAGCGCAGCTGCAAAGCCATCTGGCTACCATGAGAGATTCGTTCACGAGGCTATCCACAATATACAAACACAGAGACAATTTCAACCGAGAAGATGGATTCTGGCTTAGCAATCATTGGAAGGATTTGATTAACCATTTCGGGTCTTAATTGATTGTTCACGCTTACGGTGGCTTTCAGACCGCATCAATTATTTTTTCGTCTCCCCCCTCCTCTTTTCCGAACATAGATGGACTCGTCCATCTGAACAAACTGTCAAATCGCTCTCCGTGGTGCTAACGTTAAAAAAACGCCACTTTTGTCAAATTTTCTTGCTGTGGGTTTCACACCTGATGATGATTGCTTGTGTTGCAGTCGAAACGTCGTGAGAATTTTATTGTTTTATATTTTTATTATTTTATTGTTTCCCTTATACTTGACTTTACCGAAAGAATCAAGAATATATAGTGCACAATAGTTGTAGTGTATAGTAGTGCATCATAGTTGCAGTGTATAGTAGTGTATCACAGTTGTAGTGTATAGTAGTACATCATAGTTGTAGTGTATAATAGTGCATCATAGTTGTAGTGTATAGTAGTGCACAATAGTTGTAGTGTATAGTAGTACATCATAGTTGTAGTGTATAGTAGTGTATCACAGTTGTAGTGTATAGTAGTGCATCATAGTTGTAGTGCATAGTAGTGCGCAATAGTTGTAGTATATAGTAGTGTATCACAGTTGTAGTGTATAGTAGTGTATCATAGTTGTAGTGTATAGTAGTGTATCACAGTTGTAGTGTATAGTAGTGCATCATAGTTGTAGTGCATAGTAGTGCACAATAGTTGTAGTGTATAGTAGTGTATCACAGTTGTAGTGTATAGTAGTGTATCATAGTTGTAGTGTATAGTAGTGTATCATAGTTGTAGTGTATAGTAGTGTATCATAGTTGTATTGTATAGTAGTGCACAATAGTTGTAGTGTATAGTAGTGTATCATAGTTGTAGTGTATAGTAGTACATCATAGTTGTAGTGTATAGTAGTACACAATAGTTGTAGTGTAGTGCACAATAGTTGTAGTGTATAGTAGTACACAATAGTTGTATTGTATAGTAGTGTATCATAGTTGTAGTGTATAGTAGTACATCATAGTTGTAGTGTATAGTAGTACATAATAGTTGTAGTGTATATTAGTACACAATAGTTGTAGTGTATAGTAGTACATAATAGTTGTAGTGTATAGTAGTACATCATAGTTGTAGTGTAGTGCACAATAGTTGTAGTGTATAGTAGTACATAATAGTCGTAGTGTATAGTAGTGCACAATAGTTGTAGTGTATAGTCGTGCAGAATGTAGTGTACAGCGTAGTGTAGTTTATAGTGTAGTGTACAGCGTAGTTTATAATAGTGTGACATATATCACATTATATATCACAAAACCCCTGTACATTGAAGCATCACCCACGCCGATCCGGCCATCCACACTGACAACCAACCGCACCACATATTGTCTGGGGTTGCCAAACTGGACAGACCAGGGCTGTTAAAAAAAAAAAAACCTCAACCGAGGTCCCTTGAATGTTCCGTCAAACGCCCCCGGATTTGCACGGCGTTGTGCAAACTCAGAAAGAGTTCGCAGTGGGTGGGAGGGGGGGGGGCTGGGTGGGTGGGTGGGGGGAGGGCGTGGGTGATGGGGGGTGACGCTCCTTGTGCACTGTGGGCACCACGCACACGACGGGATTCACCCGGCATCTACCAACCTGTGGGCACACGATGGGATCCACTCGGCATCTACCAACCCGTGGGTACACGATGGGATTCACCCGGCATCTACCAACCTGTGGGCACACGATGGGATTCACTCGGCATCTACCAACCCGTGGGTACACGATGGGATTCACTCGGCATCTACCAACCTGTGGGCACACGATGGGATCCACCCGGCATCTACCAACCTGTGGGCACACGATGGGATCCACCCGGCATCTACCAACCTGTGGGTACACGATGGGATCCACCCGGCATCTACCAACCTGTGGGCACACGATGGGATCCACCCGGCATCTACCAGCCTCTTTGCACGGGGATACCTACAACACGTTGCGACATTAGCAAGCCACTCGGAGCTTCTGGCACTTTCAAGGAATGTAGAGCGAGAACTCATTTATTTAGAGCTGATTTGCATGTCTGTTTAGTTTCATCTTCTTTGGTTCTTTCGGTAAAGTCATGTAGAATGAGAATAAAATAATAAATTGATAAAATAAAATAACACAATAAATATTCTCACGACGTTTCGGCCACAACACAAGCGGCCTTCATCAGGTGAAGGGACGAGACTGTCTGGAGGACAGCGCTGGAGCGAAAAAGCGCTGTCCTCCAGACATTCTCCAGACAGTCTCGTCCCTTCACCTGATGAAGGCCGCTTGTGTTGTGGCCGAAACGTCGTGAGAATTTTATTGTGTTATTTTATTTTATCAATTTATTATTTTATTCTCATTCTACGTGACTTTACCGAAAGAACCAAAGAAGATGAATCCTTGCAGTCACGAAAGCTTTAAATCGAAATCTGTTTAGTTTGGTATCCTTCCCCCTCTCTCCGCACCTCCATTTAGCACAGTTGGCTACGTACGGTGAGCAATAACTTCACTATACATTTTGATTTAAAGCTTTCGTGACTGCAGTAATTCATATTCTTAGCTCTTTCGGTAAAGTCACGTTGAAGGGAAACAATAAAATAATAAAATTAATATAAAACAATCTATATTTTATGTTGTTTATATATATTTTATTATTTTATTGTTTCCCTTCAACGTGACTTTACCGAAAGAGCTAAGAATAACTTCAATAAACATACATTATTTGGTGACGCTGCTGCGTTGGCAGTGGTGCAAAAGCACAAACAACATGAAACAAATAAACCCAACACGTCCCATGTCAATAATGTAACACGGTGTGGCCTTCCAAGGATAAAAAAAACATTTCATAGGCGACGTTTCAGGCAATGGCCCTTCTTCTTGGCATATAAATGTACGTGTGGCTCTTCTGAAGTTGTTTAAGTTCAATGAAGAAGGGGCATTGCCTGAAACGTCACCTGTATGTGTTGGCGCCATGGTGGCCAGATGTTAACTCCCTCGCCTGGTGTGCAGGAGGTCGTGGGTTCGATCCCGACCCTGACACCTGCTGTATATTTGGAGTTTGCGTGTCTTTCATCATCATCACAGTGGCTAGGAGATGTTAACTACCTCGCCTGGTACACAGGAGGTCGTGGGTTCGATCCCGACCCTGACGCCTGCTGCTGTATATTTGGAGTCTGCGTGTCTCTCTCATCATCACGGTGGCTATGAGATGTTAACTACCTCGCCTGGAATACAGGAGGTCGTGGGTTCAATCCTGACCCTGACACCTGCTGTATATTTGGAGTTTGCGTGTCTCTCTCTCTCATCATCGTCACGGTGGCTAGGAGATGTTAACTACCTCGCCTGGTATACAGGAGGTCGTGGGTTCAATCCTGACCCTGACACCTGCTGTATATTTGGAGTTTGCGTGTCTCTCTCTCTCATCATCACGGTGGCTATGAGATGTTAACTACCTCGCCTGGTGTGCAGGAGGTCGTGGGTTCGATCCCGACCCTGAACGCCTGCTGCTGCTGTATATTTGGAGTTTTCGTGTCTCTCTCTCTCTCATCATCACGGTGGCTAGGAGATGTTAACTACCTCGCCTGGTACGCAGGAGGTCGTGGGTTCGATCCCGACCCTGACGACGCCTGCTGCTGCTGTATATTTGGAGTTTTCGTGTCTCTCTCTCTCTCTCATCATCATCACGGTGGCTAGGAGATGTTAACTACCTCGCCTGGTATGCAGGAGGTCGTGGGTTCGATCCCGACCCTGACGCCTGCTGCTGCTGCTGTATATTTGGAGTCTGCGTGTCTCTCTCTCTCTCTCATCATCATCACGGTGGCTAGGAGATGTTAACTACCTCGCTTGGTATACAGGAGGTCGTGGGTTCAATCCTGACCCTGACACCTGCTGTATATTTGGAGTCTGCGTGTCTCTCTCTCCCCGTGGTCGCGTGGATTTTCAACTGGGCTCCACCGGTTTTTCCCCTCCACATTCATCAGCACGCGTTTAGAGAATGTGGCTGCTGTTACTGCCCACACAGTGATAAGGGGCCGTTCATAAATGACGTCACGCACCTGGGGGAGGAGGAGGGGGGGGGGGTCAGACATTTGTGACGATGTGTGACGAGGGGGGCGGGTTTGAGAAATGTGACGTCACGTAAAAATACTTTAAACAAATATAGACAACACGTTCTACTTAATTAAAGAGACTTTTTAATAAATGGTTTTCTCCTACAACATCAGGAGTACCAGCGCCACATTAAATACGCACTACAATGACAATAGTTTAAAGCGATTTGAAACACGTGTTATATATATTTTCTTGGGGGGGGGGGGCAGAGCTTTGTGACGTCATATTTG